CCTCCTCCTCCTCTCCTCCTCCTCCTCCTCCTCCTCCTCCTCCTCCTCCTCCTCCTCTTCCTCCTTTTCCTGCTCTTCCTCCCGCTCCTCCTCCTCCTTGTCCTCCGCCTCCTCCTCCTTCTCCCCCTTGGGGCGAAGAGCTGCCCCTGGGGGACGGAGGCGGGTGCAGCGACCCCTGCAGGGGGGCGACGCGCGCGAACCGGCGGCGGCTCCTGTCCCCGTGCGGCGTCGGCGCGCGCCGTCGCCACGTCGGGCGGCATTGGCCTCGCGCTTCGGGGGAGTTCGGCCTCAAGTCCTTCGAGCGGCATTGGCATTGGCATTGGCCTCAAATCCTTCGGGCTTCAAATCCTTCGGGGGAGTTCGGCATTGGCCTCACGCTTCGGGCGGCATTGGCTCACGCTTCTGTATCCTCGCAATTACTTTTTTTATCGTCGACTGGCATCGATTCGCGTCTGGGAGTCGACGAGATAGCGCCGCAGATGGGCCTCCTTGATGGGGTCCGAGCAGATGGGGTCGGAGGATCGCGCCGCACCGCCGATGCGGCTCACGTGGAGCCCGAGTCGCCTCACGTCGGCGTCGCCGGTGCATCGCCGATGCATCGCCAATGCATCGGCGATGTGGCGCGATCCTCCGACCACATCTACTCCGACGCCATCTACGAGGTCTCTAGCATTGGCCTCACGTTTGGGAGGGTCACTTCCCCGATCCGTGGACCTGGCGCCCACGCGCCAGGTCCACGGTCCGCGCCAGTCTCTGCCTGGCACTGGCGCACCGTCCGACGTCTTGGAGCGCGGAGGACGCCAGCGGGGCAGCTACGGTCGAAGAAGAGAAAACGCCATAAACATAAATTTTCGGCGCTCCGCGGGATTCCTTGGGTCCGCGCTGGGCCCCCCTCCCTGGCGCGCGGAGCGCGCCAGGGGCGGCGCCTGAGGCGCCGCCAGGGGGGGCCCAGCGCGGATCCAAGGAATGCGCGCGGAGCGCCAAAAGTTTCTGTTTATGGCGTTTTTTCTTATCTTCTAAACGGTCTTGGGCGTTTACTAAACAGCGGTGCCCTGTTCGAGTTCTTCCTTGGGGTGCGTTCGCTACACGGCTTCGCCTGTCGGGGTGCTGTGCTTATGCTGGGGGTGGATGTTCGGCCCTCCGGAGAAGCCAGGAGGCTTCCCAGACCGCCACATCCTCGCGTCACCTCCCCTTGCACGCGCCGCCAAGGTGCCGCTGGCGCGCTCTCCCTCCAGGAGAAGTGGTGCTGGCACCAGGGGAGCCACCCCCAGAGAGGGGGACTCAACGATCAGAGTGTCCAGCGAGCGGGGTACATGGCTCTTCGGTCTCCTCCTGATACTCATCCCGCGTTTTCATCTTTCTCCTCATTTCCCGACTGCGCCGCTCTTGGAAAGGATGGAGGCCAAACCCCTGCGCTGCTGCAGCGGCAACACCTCTCCTCCCAGCCATGGAGAAAGACGGTGTCCCTTTCTTCCTCCCATCTCCCCCCATAACAGGCGCCGACCCCGATTGGTTGCCCCTCTCGCTTTACTGCAAACACCGCCTCTCGCCCCCCCGCGCTCCTTCTCTCTCCCGGGGAAGCATCGGACAAGGTATCCGACCCCCCATGACCCACATTGCGGTGGACACGGGAGCTCCCTAAGTCCGTAACGGGGCACCCCCTTCTTGCCGCACCAGTGTGACACGTTGGGCTGTAACTCGCGGCCACTGAATTTCAGGCACCCTGAAGCCCCATGGAGCACAATTGGGGAGCATCTTTCTTGGATTGGGCGCCAACTCGCCCACTGCGGATCCCATCAAGAATTCCTACTCGCCCAGCTTTCCGGAGCCCCCCAGGGCAGCACGACTGCTCAGACGATGCATCCCCGAGCTGGCGATGGGCGACGCCCCGCACGGGACGCGGAGTCAGGGCGGCACCGCACGGCCTCGAGGGCCCTCCGCTGCTCCTCGCAGCGGGCGGTGGCGGTGCCGGTGCTCTCCTCGCTCCTGCGGGCTGCGGGGCGGCGCCGCGCGCGCGCTCCGCACCGCGGCCGCGCCCGGGAAAGAGGTCGTCCTCCTGCGGGGCCTCCTCGCGGGAGCCAGGTCGGCTGTACAGTCGACCCGCACAGTACGGCTGGGCAGCATTCCCAAGGGTGCCCTTGCATCCTGGCCCCCTCGGTCCATCCTTGGCCGCCTTCGCCGGCCGCGCCCCGCTCGCAGAGGGTCGGCATGGCCTGCCAAGGCCCTCGCATCCTCACCGCGCATGCTTCTGATGCGGGTCGACTGTAGGTGAAATTGACCTGGGCGGCGCAAGAAGGCGGGGTCGGCTGCGCCGACATGCGCGCGTGAGGTTCTCGCGTAGGGTCGCGCGCATGCGCCCACGGCTCGAGCGCAGCGTGCTGCACGGGCGGCCAGCGTGAGCCACCGCGCCAGGTCGCTGTGCCATCTCGCGCAAGGCGCCGTTCTGAACGTCGCCCACCTTTCGCGGGAGAGACTTTTGGTGCGGGCACTCGGGGGCTTTGTGGGCCCCGGAAACGGCAGGGCCGTTTTTTCACCGCTTCCCAAAACAATGTCCCTTGAAAATGGAAACGGCAAAAAAACGGCGACCGGAAACGGCAAACAAACGGCTCCAGGATTGGAAGCGGAGCTGGAACCGGTCAAACAACGGCGACGGAACCGGTAAAAAAACGGCGTCAGAACCGGCAAAAAAACGGCAAAACGGAACCGGTAAAAAAACGGCCCTGTCGTTTCCAGGGCCCACTAAGCTCGGGGGGGCCCCAGATGGCTGGATGGCGTGCGGTGGCAGCGGCTTGCGCGTTGCGGTTCGGCCCCCCCTCGGTCTCCGAACGTCGCGCACCAGAGGCCACTCTTGCCTAGGGTCACGCCTACGTGTAGCCGACCAAGGCTCTGCAGACCAGGACTCCCTGCCGGATGCAGCAGTCAAGCAGTGGCGAAGCGTCCTTCCAACTTCTCCCATGTCAATATCGCCCCACCCAGCGATCCAGACCTCGCTCGAACTTCCCCGTGCCCATCCCAATTCCCCTAGTGACCGCTCAACTTCCGCATGCCCCCCGCGCCAAGGCGCAAGCTCCCGCATGGCCATCCAACCTCCTCCACCTCGAAACTCGCCAAACACTTCCAGCGAAGGCGGCTGTCCTTGATGGACGGTGGATCTCATCAACCTAGGGGCCCACCAAAGAATGTTCTAAGAGCCTTTTGCGGTTTGCATCCAGATGTCCAGATGTTCTTAGAACATGTTTGGGTGAGACTGTCTCGTCTCAACACGCCAGGTTTACGTTGCAGGATCCTTGTTTGTGTCTTTAGAACATCTCTGGGGCTCTAAGAGAGCATGTCGTGGTAGGCCCACAGGCATGTTGGGGCGGTCGGTCCCTGCTCAAGGCAGGAGCAGGGCGAGGAGTGGAGAGCGCCCCGGCCCACGGCTGCAGCTCCCTCGAGTGCGGTGCTGGCGTCCCGGTCCCGCAGAGTCCCCGCTCACGGCGGGGCCCCGGCGGGCCTCGGGACGGCGGCGGAAAGAGCTAACTGAGGCAGTGGGCCGTTGCCTTCGGTGGGCAGCTTGTTGCTTTCATCGAAGAGAAAACGACATGAGCATGAGCATAAATTTTTGGCGCTCCGCGCGGAGTTCTCGGATCCGCGCTGCCCGGCGGCGCCTCCCGGCGGCGCCCCGCCGCGGCGCCGCCCCTGGCGCGGTACGCGCACCATGGGGGGGGGAGTCCAGCGCGGATCCAAGAAGTCCGCGCGGAGCGCCAAAGGTTCATGTCTGTGGCGTTTTGTTCTTCTTGTATTTCAGCGCGCTCGTTGCCGAAATCATTGCCCTCAGTCTTCGGGACGACCGACATGGGTACGGAAAGAATGGGTACAAAGACCGACAGCAGTTCTTGTTCATTTTGAACAGATCCGCTGTCGGCGTCGCCGCGGATTGTGTCGAGGCCGCCTGCCAAACAGCGGCCGCCTGTTGGTTCGGGACAACATTTGCGGTTGGGCATTGTGCCCATGGTTTCCGTGCCCATTCCGGGCGTCCAGATCAGTGAGCTCCTCGTCCGTGCCGCCTCCCCCGCAGCGCGCCGCAGTCCGCCCGAGCACGCACGCCGATCGGGAGCCCGTGCGCTCCGGCCGCGCCCCTCGAGCGAGGAGGTATTCCCCCCCGGGAGCGACGGCCGCACGTCGGCGGCCGTCGCTCTCACGGGAGGGGAGGGGCGCGCCAGCCTTGAGTCGGGCTTGTCCCTCTACAGGAGGAATATTAAAAAAATGTGAAAAATAGTCAGGGGACGATTGGTTTACCATTTTGGGGCATTTTTGGTATATGTTTCGGGTATGTTTCATTTTTCGCCCAAAATCCCCCTGTAGGGGGACACGTCCGACCTAACGCCGGCCCGAGCCCGTAACCCAGGCCTCCCAGGTAGGGTCCGAGCAGAGGGGGTCGGAGGATCTCGCCGATGTATCGCCGATGCGGCGCGATGTGGAGCCCGACTTTCTATACGCCGACGTCGCCAATGAATCGGCGACGCCGCCATTGCATCGCCGCGGCGCGATCATCCGCCCCCATCTAATTACTCGGACCCCATCTGGGACGCCTCCACGTAAGTAGAATACTCTGGGGGGCAGTTGTGAAGGAACGTGCCCCGGAAGCTCCAGACCCTGGAGGATTTCCTGCCTGATGAGGGCGGCGGTGAGATCCATGGCCAAGCCACGGTCGGAGTTCCAAAGGCCTGGATTCCTCGCCCAGTGCTTCCGCATGCAGCTCCCTCAGGGACAGGCCTACACGGGACCTCCACGGCGACCAGGCTGGAGGTGTCGCCGGTGCCCGGCTTCTGGCGCCCGGGCCTCCCCCAGACTTCCAACGTGTTGGAAGCTGGAGGCGTAGGCCCTGCGCTATTCTCGGCCTCCCGCGACGGCTATGTTCGGGCCCCTGGGGCCCCCCCGAGAAGGGGTCGAGAGTTCCAGGGCTCTTGGATTGAACAAAACAGTTGCATCGCTAGAAAGACTTCGGGGCTCATGCCGGCTAACATGTGCAACTGTTCCAGAATGTGCCATTGAGGGGGCCTCTCGGGCCACCCTCTCCCTTCGCAGTTGCCCAGTCACGCTCCTGGCCCTCCTTCCTCCTTCGCCTCCTCGTCCCAGGGAGCGGGAGGATGTAGGGGGGGAGATAAGCGTACGGTGGATGCGTTTGTTAAGGAATAGTCCCAGGAGGCTCCAGACCTTGGGGGATTCCTCATCCAATGAGGGCGGCGGTGATATCCATGGCCGATCGACGATCGGAGTTCCACTGGCTTCCAGACCCTGGATTCCTTATGCAAGGCTTCCTCATCCTGCCGCCGTGGACGCGGTGACGAGGTCTCACGGCTTTGCGACGGCGGCAGAGGCCAGAGCTCGTGGGGCGGCGGTTCGCCTCGCGCGGGCGGAGGCGGCGGCCCGTGAGCGGGCCTAGTTCTGCATGTGAATTTACAAGGCCTCGGCCGCGAAGAGAGAACATGCCCCCACCGTACAGTTCGAGGGTGAGAGGAGGAGGACTCGTCCTCTGGGATGTTTGGCGCTCGGGGCTCTCTGCTTGGCGCCTCCAGGAGAGACGCCCCGTCGCCACGGCCAGACTTCCCCCCCGACGGCGGAGAGCGAAGACGCGCCCCCCCCCCCCCCCAGCTGAGGCCTGGGCCCAGACGTCTTCGGCGTCGGAGGACCAGATCCTCACGTCTCAACTCAGGAGGGAAAAAGCACACAGACACAATTCATCGTCGATTATCCAGAAAATGTGGGAAGTGTGGGGGGGAAGACAAAAAACATTGAAATTTGGAAAATACGGAGGATCCTGTCATTTGTGTGTATTTTGTTGTGTGTCCCAGGGCCCCTTCATCAACCACTTCCGCTCCGGATGCTGCCATCTCCGCATGTTCCGTGCCATCTCCTCACGTTTCGCCCACCTCCCCGCGCATTACATGCGGTCCTCACGCTGTCTTGCACGTCGGCCACCTCCGCACGCGCCATCCGGACGTTTCAGCCACCTCTCGCGCGTAGCCGTTTTTCAAGCCACCTTCGCTCCGGATTTTTTGCGGGCGCGGCCAGCGACAGGACCCCCACCCTTCCTAAGGGGAACGCCGCCTGCACACCCGCACGACCGTGGCCTGGTCCAGCCCGTGATGTCGGAGGGAGGAGAAGTGGTACCACCACCACCAGGGGGCCCACCTCCAGCGAGCAGGTCCACGATGCTTCCCCGAGCTGGAGGCTGGGGATGTCTCGAGCGCGAAGGGGGGACCACACCACCAGGGAGACCCTCCTCGCCTCCTCCTTCCTCCTCCTCCTCTTCCTCCTCCTCCTCCTCCTCCTCCCCTCCTCCTCCTCCTCCTCCTCCTCCTCCTCCTCCTCCTCCTCCTCCTCCTCCTCCTCCTCCTCCTCCTCCTCCTCCTCCTCCTCCTCCTCCTCCTCCTCCTCCTCCTCCTCCTCCTCCTCCTCCTCCTCCTCCTCCTCCTCCTCTCCTCCTCCTCCTTCCTCCTCCTCCTCCTCCGCCTCCTCCTCCTCCTCCTCCTCCTTCTCCTCCTCCTCCTCCTCCTCCTCCTCCTCCTCCTCCTCCTCCTCCTCCTCCTCCTCCTCCTCCTCCTCCCTCCTCCTCCTCCTCCTCCTCCTCCTCCTCCTCCTCCTCCTCCTGCCTCCTCCTCCTCCTCCTCCTCCCTCCTCCCTTCTGCCTTCTCCTCCTCTCCTCCTCTCTTCCTCCTCCTCCTCCCCCCCTCCTCCTCCTCTTCCTCCTCCCCCTCCTCCTCCTCTCCTCTCCTCCTCCTCCTCCTCCTCCTCTCCTCCTTCCTCCTCCTCTCCTCCTCCTCCTCCTCCTCCTCCTCCTCCTCTTCCTCCTGTTCCTCTCCTCCTCCTCCTCCTCCCTCCTCCTCCTCTTCCTCCTCCTCCTCCTCCTCCTCCTCCTCCTCTGTTCCTCCTCCTCTTCCTCCTCCTGTTCCTCCTCCTCCTCCTCCTCCTCCTCCTCCTCCTCCTCCTCCTCCTCTTCCTCCTCCTCCTCCCCCTCGCCTCCTCGCAGCTCCTCGCCCCGGTTGTGTATGGTGCCGCCTCTCCTCGCCCTTGTGCTGAGGCCACGAGCGCGCGTGCGCACCCCTCTCGGGCCCAGCAGGGGCCTGGCCAGGACAGTGAGGGCACGTGCCCCCGGGGGCCTCGCGCCACGCAGCCCCGCTTCTGCAGGGTCTCGCGCTGCCCGCCCCGCGGGCGCTCGGGCGCGCGCTCCTGGCCTTGGCATCGCTCGGACGTGTGTGTTTTTGTTCGTTCGGCGAGGACCATCGAGGAGCATCCTGGATCCTCGAGGCGCAAAAAAAATAACACGCACGACATCGAATAATGCACGGGGAACGGACGTCCGAGCGATGGCGAGTGGTGCGCGGGATGGTCCTTGGCGGGCGTGCCGTTTGCGTCCTCCCCCCCAGACGTCGGACGGCTTGAGGTTCCCACTGCGGTGCCCCTGCAGGTCCAGATCCCCTTCCCAAGGGTGCGGCTCTGTCTGCCGAGTCGTTTTGTGACGGCCCCGGCCCCCCCGCCCGGCGAGGGCCTGCACAGAGGCTGAAACCTGCGAAGCAACTCCGCGTTGAGCTTGTCGAGACGTTGGAGGTATGGGTCTGACTTCGGTTCCGCCGTGCCTGTTGGGCGATGTGTCCTGTTTTTTCGCGCTGTTCGGGGTGCATTTCCAATACAGTCTCCAGTCGGAAAGCCAACCACAGTATCGCCAAGACGCCGAAACAAGGATCATTCTGGATGTAGGACGGTCTCGGGTTTTTGGGCCGTCCCTTAGGCCGTGGAGCCTGCTGGTGTCCCATTCCCGCCGTGGCCAGAACATACTCTCGTTCCCTGCGGTAGCACGATGGCTGTACTCGGGAGGGAACAAGGCGCACAGCCACAAATAATCGTCGACCCCCAGGAATGTATGCAACATCTGGGGATCCTTGGATTTGTGTTTATATGTTTGTGTGCAGCCTGGGCCCCTTCATTCACCGAGCGCGTCCCGCTACTCGCAAATTCTTAACGCTTCGCGTATCCCACCAGCACTCCGTAGCCCCCTTGGCTCAAGCCATCTGCGGGCCTGGCTCCCTCGGGCCAGTCTCCCGCGCTCAAGGGGGCGCCCGGACGCTGCACCGCGCCCCCGACCCAGGGCCCTGTCGCTCCGCCAGCGCGCGCCCGCGATACCAGCTCGCTCGGAGTGCTGCCGTGGCCCGCGGCTCAGACCCATGGAGGATCAGCCTGACGATGGTGATGGAGGCAGGGATCCCTCAGTGCAGGGCGCGGGAGCCCAGTCACTGTACTCGATCGGCCCCCACCCAGACCCAGATCAGGCGCAGACCCCCCCCAGGCAACAACCCCCCCCCGCAGGCGCGGCAGGCACAGTGGCGACGCCAGCCGCGTCCACAGTGGTTCTCAGCCACGGGGAGGGCGACAGGCAGACAGAAGGGAGATCAGCTCACCCTGACGCCGCCCTCGACCCCGTTCTGATCCCAGTTCCGTCCACGCCTCCCCCCTCCCCCCGCAGGGAGGCAGACCGTGACCGCGAAGCCCCAGCGACAGGTTCCTCCCAGCCCCCTGAGGCTGAGAATGAGGCTCTCATAAGGAACCAAGAGGCGGCAGCGAACGAGGCATCTGGAGAAAGACGATCGGAACCCACAGGAGTCGGCAGCGCCGGCCTCCCGCCAGAAGGACAGGCGAGCAGGCCTCCCCCCGCGGCGACTGAGGAGCCTCCCCAGGGACCGCCAGGGGGACAGCATAGAGGGGACCCTGAGCATGCAGCAAGGCTCCTTAGGGACGCCCTACCCCTCTCCTCCTCCAATTCACCAGTTACTGCGGCTCTTGGCTGCGCCCCCCATCTTTCTCCTCCTCCTCCTCCTCCAGTGCAGGATCCGAGTTCAGCGCCTCACGGCTGCGCCCCCAGCTCGAATCAGAGTGCGATACCGAGGAACGGTACTGGCAACGATGCACTGCCAGAAGATTCCCTGCAGGATCAGGTCCCGCCAGCGCCCACGGTGGGCGCGCGGGACGTCCACGATGACGTAAAGGATACCCTGCCCAGGATCCCGTTGGACTTGACCAGAGACGGCGGGGAGGATCTCCTACCCGACCCTCCCGTTTCGCCCCCACACGCCCCCTCTTCTGCGTTCCCGATTCCCCTGTCCCTTACGGGCCTGGGCGAAGACATTGAGATCTCCCCCGCGCTGCCTTTCCACCCGATCGGGTTCGATGCGGACAACGGACAGCAGCATTGGGACGAGATCGACTTGGGGCGGCTTATGCGAGATCGCGAACCCAGCGGTAGCACCCCCGACAGCGAAGCGTCCCACGAATGGGAGGATCCCGACGTGATCGACAGTAGATCTGCCGCTCGCGTCCACGATCGCCTGATCACGCCTCCCCCTGGCCTCCCCCCGTCCCCTCCGCCAGGCTCAAGGTCGCGCAATGCGGGGTGTCGGGTGGCTGGCCCGGAGCACGAGGTTGACCCAGCTAACCGCAGGCCCTCCCCACAACCCAGGCGTTGTGGCACCCGTGACGCTGGCGCTCCTCCATTGGCCCCGAGAGTCGTCGACTCAAGGGGCACCATGAGAGGCGGCACGTTAGCGGCACTTATGGAGCACCATGAACCAATGGAGGGCCCATGGAGAGAGCTCCCCAGACTCCCGCCCCGCAACCAGGCAATGAACAGTGGTCCTGAGAACGTGGTAAGCTTCTGCTGGGTCCGCCACTCCCCCTGGCACGCGGCCGTGAGCGGGGGCCCCTCCGCAGCAGAGGGTGCCCAATGCCCACTCATGCCCCAGCCACGTGGTGCAAGCGGAGCAGGAGTCCCCACACAATTCTGTTACACCTGCATTGGCCCCCGGTGTTCGAGGTCCTCCTCAGAGCGCAGGACGCTGGACAGGGCGCCCGCATGCTGCTCCTCAGCATCACCAGCCCAGCAGCGGACCAAGTGGCCACAGTCAAGCTCCACTGGCCACCAGACCTCGGAGGCACAGTCCCCCAAAGCGACTGCCAGGCGCTGGGGCTCAGGCAGGGTGCGAGGTTCCCCAGCAACGTGTGCATTGTGGTATAGGGCGTGGAGAAATTTGGGGAGTTCCACGCTGACGACAGGATCCCGAAACCCTCCTACGTGGGGGAAGCGTGGCACAGAATGGACAGGGCCCCCTCCCTGCTCCAGTTTCGCCGGATCTCCACCTCAGTCACCGCTGTCTACCAACTGCAGCAGGCCCCAAGCGACCTTGTTGGGGCCCCCGTGGACGTCATCACCTACCTCCTCACTTTTCGCACGGCCGACAAGACGGACAAGACGCTGGCCAACGGCGTGAGCAACGCCTCACAGCGCGGGCAGGCTCTACTTGCGCGCGCCAGGTCCACCCTTGAGGAGCGTTTCCCCAGCTCTGCCCAGTCAGCAGCGGGCACCAGCGCAGCGGCACCCAACACCCCCGCGAGGCCCCTGGCTGCCATCCCCTTCTCAGACCCAGAGGTGGATTCAGCTGTCGGACACGTCTTCCAACGCGCCAGGGACCTACCACCGCTCACGGCCTTCGAGGAAGGAGCCGGGCGCCACAGTCTCAAGCGTGACGCCACGAAGGCCCTCACCGCATCCACCTCACATCGCGTAACAATCGTTCACGGGCCCCCCGGCGCAGGCAAGACGATCTTCTCCGTTGCCACCATGGACACTTGGGCCAACGCACTCCTGGACGGTCACACAGTTGCCCTGGCCGCAGGCTCCAGCGCAGCCGCCGACCAGCCAGCGCTTGGTCTAATCAGCGCACAACAGGCCAACAAACTGGGCCCCCTGACAGGATACCCAACCAAGTGCGTGCGCCTGGCCAGAGACTTCAAGGTGGTCAAGGCCCTCGCTGCGCTCACCCCTGGAGGACACCATTGCAGAGCCCACGGCAGGTACCCGTGCGACGGCGGACCCTCCAAGGACTCCCCTGCTGTCCGGACCCAGCTACTCGAGGACGCCAAGACAACCATCGCCACGCATGATTCTGCGGAGGCTTTAAGGAAAGATGCCCCAGTGCCCCAGTAGCCTTACTCATCATAGACGAGGCCGGGCAAGCGCATGAGCTAATGGTCGCCATGTCCCTCGACTGCGTCATCCGCTCAGGCGGACACCTGGTGCTTGTCGGCGACCCCGAGCAGCTCCCCCCCCGCAGTCATCTCGAGGAAGGCAGCGGACCAGGGGTTATGCCTCTCCATCTTCGACCGTCTCCACCATGCCATGGGGGGCGATCGGTCTGCAGTGGTGCAGCTCAGCCTCTGCTACCGCACGCGCCCCCTGCCATCGGCATGGCCGAACTTCGCCTTCTACAACGACACGATGCGCACCGGCCTCACCGACCCCCTGACTCAGAGACCCCTGGTCGAGGGACTCCCATGGCAGGACTTTCGCCCCTGGGGCGACACCAGAGTCGGTGAGCTGGCTAAGGCGGCGTCCACCACCAAGGACGACATGGAGAATGCGCTTCGCGGTCTGGCGCTTGGGAACCAGCGCAAGGAGGAGCGGCGCCGCTTCCTCCTGGTGGACAACCCATCCCTGGAAGTCACCTCGCGGCTCCACGCAGGATGCGCCAACCTGCCACAGGCAGCGCAGACAGTGGACATCGTACGCGCCCTCCTGCCCGCCATGCAGAACGGCACCTCTGTGCGGGCGGTCGTCGGATACCAGTTGCAGTGCGCCGTCCTCGAAAAGGGATGGCCTCAGAGCGTGCGCGGCATCAGTGGCATTCTCAGGCAGGCCACGACCAAGGGCAAAGGTAATGGGAAGGACGGGGCAGCCCCAGGCAACGGGCCCTCACCCCCCCCCCCCCGACCGTCCGACCGCCCCACCAACACCGGCGACCGCGCGAGTGTCTTTGTGCAGCGCAGCACTGAGCTCACAGGCATCTCCCTGTGCTTTCCCGGACTGCGGCACCTCGCTGAAGAACACCTGGCAAGTGGGAAGCTCACCATTTCCACCATCGACTCCAGCCAAGGCGGCGAGGCCGACCTGGTTTTCTATCTGACCACCAGGTCCAATGGGTGGCATGACTGGGGGTTCTTGGACAACGCCAACAGGGTGAACGTGGCGATCACCCGCGCCACCCGCAACGTGGTCATCATCGGGGGTGGGGGGATGTTCGGCACCGCCACTGGGTCACGTCTACGAGAGCTGTCGGAGCTTGGAAGATTCGTCAAGCTCTGGGTTCGCTTCTTGCACCCGGAAAGCATGGGCAGGAGGTGGACATTGGCAGTCGACGAGGAGTTCGACCCCATTAAGGACCTTACCACATGGATCCGGGAGTCCCCTTCCCACGCAGGAGACGACGTCATCAAGGGTCTCGACAACGCCATCGGGAAAGCCCAAACCTCTATGGAGGAGAACTTCGCAGACAGGATCGCAGCGCCGCTCGACCCAGAGTTCTCATGGGAAAAGCTGGGCGAGGCCATTGCAGGCAGTCTGCAGAAGCTTGTCGAGGACCCAGCCATGGGAGTTATCCTATACACAGTGTCAGGACTACACCCCCACCATG